CCACACCCTCTCACTCGTCATCTTTCTACTCTCTTTTTAATTTGAGTACAAATTTGTGCCACATTTAGTAACACAAGTTTTTCCACCTATCTGTGGCAAACTACTATCCTCTTGAGAAAAAAAAAAAAAAAAACTGCTGTAATCTGACAACATACCACTGACTGTGCACAGTTAACGCAAAGCATATACTGCTGCTTCTTTAAATTTTGCTCATTTTTCACTCTCCTTTTTTCCTATCCTTTCAGCTAAAAATTTCTTCCCCAACTCACTTGCATAATGCTGCTCTAAACCCGGTAATGCATCAGTTCCAGACTCTGAGCAAAAGAAATACGAAATGAACAATAAAAAATAAAAAAAAATAAAAAAATCTTTGAATTTTTAATGATCTTCTTGGCCGGTTTCTTATTGGTTCCATCATAATGACCAAAAACTGTGTAGAAAAATTAGAAAACGACAGCTTTTTCAAGTTTTTTTTATAAATACCAATTTTTTTTGAGTAATCGTCATCGCATCATCATCACAACCAACAAAATAACATTTGTAGTTATTAATAACTGAACATGAAAAAAGAAAATTAAATTTGGCCCTTATTGAAGACATTAATCACTTCTAATGGGCCGGCGATTCATCTTGAAAAAAAAATTTCCTTCTTTTTTCTTTGAAGTGTAATATAGGCCATTAAGAATCAATAAAAAATAAAATTTTTAAATACTCCGTTCTTTTTTTCTGCTCATTTGCTTGCTTATTTGCTTTTCTTTTTTTTAAAGCTAAAAACAATAAATGATGCTTAGTTGCTTGGAAGTATATGCAATAAAGTATCCATCCTTGCATTCATTCGTTCGTTCATTCATTCATTCATCCACCCATTCATTGAAAAGAAAGTGGTAATTAAAAGAGTTAATGAGAGAATGTTGCCAAAGTAGTGTTATTACTCAAATCCACAGCCTACGAGTTTTTTTTTTTGTTTTCATTAAACCTGTCGCCTATTTGTTGCTCATCCTTCATCTCTATTTCCTTCTTCGTTTCCCCTTGTCCTCTTTTTTCTTCCCCCAACTTTCTTGCCACTCTTTATACCATCTTCCATCACCTCCTCCCACCTCTTACCTCCTATCTGTAGTCGTAGCTCATTTTAGTTCGTTTTTTTGCCAGTAGCAGCACAAGCGGCAAAAAAAAAAAAAAAAAAAAAAAAAAAAACC